TATACATGCATAACTAAATTCTCCTAATAGTGTAATATGAAGAAAATTTCATTACTTTACTTAGACAGTAATTAATTTGGATTACTCAATTCCGAAGTAGTGTATAATTCCTTTAGAAAGAGTATACTCAAAAAAATTTAATTTAGTTTTTTTTTCTTGGTGGTACTGGTGTTTGAACTCAGGGTCTCATGCTTGCTAGACTAGTACTCTACACTTGAGGCACAGTCCTAGCCCTAATTTCTTATTTTAGATAATGATAATTTGATTTGGAATACACTTTTCTCATAAACTACCCAAGGAATTAGAATGTTAAAATTGTTGGTTCAAAAACATGTTTTACAATTAAGGGAATTTAATCATGTTTGTAGCTTATTGGCATTCCTATGACTCTCATCTGATTTTTTTTACAAATATACCCTTTGTCTCATACAACTGTATGTGTAATTTTTAAACTACAAAATCTTCTATAGATTATTCATCATTTTCCAAATTAGGTATTATTATATTGGATGCTATGGTGGTTTATGTTGCCTAGAACATATAATCAAAATGCTGATGGTTTGTGCTAATAAAGAAAAATTTCTTCATAACTTTCTGAAGCTCAATATTTAAGAACCTAATGACAGTGATAATAGTTAAAAAGATTTGCCTTATATTGAGATAATGATGCTATGAACATAAGGTGCAACTGATACAGTTTCATCTTGATTTGTTAATTTTTGTGGCTTGTTATAAAAAGAGATTGTTTTGCCTATAATTTTCTACAACCAAATAGGCAAAAGACAAACAGAATAAAATAAGGAAGAGTGAAAAATAATTCACTTTGTATTAGGACATAAATGGGGGCACAATCCTGCAGAAATTGGTTGATTCTATATCAATCAGTCAACTATGAACAGAGAGAGGTGTTTTAAAAAATCTGTTTAAATAAGACAGGATATAATAATACACTTGTGATTGAATAAATTTAGGAAAGTGTAAAATGTAAAATTATCACAGATATTCTAATTGTTAAATGTTAAATTATAATTTAGGAACAGAAATATCTATAAACTTGACTTTTATGATGAACTGAAAAGACTAAGGAAAATCAAAGATGCAGGAAAGTGTAAGTGGATTTATGGCATCAGTTAAGCTTTTGGTTTTTATGATCCTAGCACAAAAGCACTCTGTACATCTCCCATGGTCACTACAATGTTTTCATTTAACTATGATTATCAAAGATCAATTTCTGCAGCACAAACTTCTGGGAAAGTCTTAAGACAGAGAAGCCTGACTGTGGGAAGCAGCACCACCTAGGGGTTGGGTCTTTTTTCTTTTAAATTCAGTTCATAACAAGTGAATGGCTAAGTAAGAATGTAATTTCTAGTACACATTTATTTCTTCTGTTCATTAATACTTAGTATGAGGTGGCTGAAATAATTCTGCTGAAAGACAGGATTGGACTCTTACATTTTTTTTTTAGAAACAAAAAATTTCAGGCTCCAGTGCAATTCCATAGTCCCTTCCAGAGGTAACTACCACTTGGTATTTATTATCTTTATGCATGTTTTATACTGCTAGCTCACCTGTATGTCTACATGAAATCAAAATGATTATTTTGGGACTATGAATGATTTTATACACTTTCTAACCTCTTTTGTCAATTTTTCTAAGAACAGTATTACTTTTATTTTTGACAAAAATATCTAAAAATAAAGTGAACCAAACTGCTCATTTTACAAAGAGCTCCTCTGGAAGCTGAGAAATCTGATATATACTGTGAACTGGCAAATATTTGCTGCCACTTGAATTATACTTATAATTAACTAAATCAGATTATAAACAAATCTATTGTTTCCTCCCATAAGCTTTGTAGAAAAGAAAGAGGAGATTTAGTAGAAAATTAATTAAAGGCTAAAGGTTAGAATTGAAGTTGGGAAGATAAACAGATGAAATTAAACCTTTAAGAAAATTAAGAAATAGCACGGATAAAGGGTTCCCCTTAGGGAAAAGCCAAGTTACTGATAATTGTGGTAAATACTTCCAGAACACTGCCTTCTCATTTATCAAGCTTTTATTTGTGGTATGGAGGGATACCAGTTAGCAGCATACTTTAGTGTCAGTATATTCAGTTGAACAGACCATGAAAACCCCCTGGGGAAGGTGAGTAGAAAGTCGCCATTATTTCATCATAATCTTTTATGTATTAATGACTAAAGGAGTTTTGTTATTTCCAATGTTAAACAATTGAAAAAAAGTTAATGAAAGTGAAGCAAAATGCAGTTCTGTCACACCATTGCCACAATAAAAAAAGGAGTTAAATGTATTAATTTCTGCTTTTGGGGGAGTAAATAAAATTGATTTCAGGGATCATAAATTCATATACCATCAGGGATGAGGTATTTGTGTTTATTTTACATAAATGCAAATTTGAAATAATTTTTGTTCTAAACAAGCCTATGGGGTGAATTTGACTTTTAGGTCACTAGCTTGACCTCTGAAATTTTTTTATTGATATAATTTATATACCATAAAATGCATCTTTTTAAAGTATTTCAGAGGTTTTTAGTACAAAGTTGTGCAACCATCATATCTAATTTCAGACCATTTTCATTGCCCTAAAAGAAACTCCATACCCATTACCAGCCATTTCCCATTTCCCCTTCTTCCATGAATAGAACTTCCCATCTTTATGGATTTTCCTATTCTGTATATTTCATATAAATGGAACCCTACAGTATGTGGTGTTTTGTGTCTGGCTTCTTTTACTTTGCACAATATTTTCAAGGCTCACCCATGTTATAGCAAATAGGTATTTTATGCATTTTTATGCCTGAGTAATAGTCCCTTATATGGATATACAACTTTTGTTTATTCATTCATAAATGGATATGGAAAGATATTTGAGTTGTTTCTAGTGGTATACTAACAATTAAGATGACTCAAATATATAGTGAAAAGTCTTTTCTCATCCCATCTTCCCAGGTACCTAATCATCACTCTATTCTGTCCCAGTAGGTAAGTATTATTAACAGCTTCTGATGTGTTTTTCCCATATAGGCGACATTCTAGTTTTTCTGTTTCCATATATATTTATTTATATATTTCTTTTTTTGTGGTGCAAGGGATGGAACCCAGGGCCTAAAACATGCAACTGTTCTGCCACTAGGAAGGTAAAACATTTACACATGCTCTGTACCTTGTTTTTTCACTTCTGAATACGTTTCCATTTGTTCCTAGACAGTGTTCTCATTCTCTTCTAAAGCTACATGTTTTCTATTGTCTGGCTATAGTACAGTTTATTTAACCAGTCTCCTTTTGATAGGTGTCTCAGTAATTTAAATATTTTCTATTTACAAAATTTACTTGTAAACTAGTCATACAATAAGCAAACAACAAGGTAAATATCATGTTTAATAATAGGGAAAAAAGAAACTATTTAATTTTAATACTCAACAAGAAAATTGAAAAAGGCTTAAAGCTGCCTTTTAAAATAAAATATGGCCATCCTCTTAACTGTTATGTTGTAGAATAGTTATAGGATGAAAACTGGCAAAGCTATTGACCTAACTGAGCAACAGTTTTAAACCTATCTTCTGTTTCTCAGAATATTTATAGTTCTCAAATTTAATTTAATGAGTTGTTTTCACTAAATATGGTAACATGCAAATTTCAGAAAATACTTGTGAACTTTTTGTCTATGGTATTTGGCACATCTTACATTTAGTTCTAAGGCCAGACTTAAAACAGGTTAAAGTAAGACAATGTAACAATCAAATTGTTTTCTTAGTTTTCTACTAACTGTTTATTACAGAACTTATTATGATAAGATGGCAAGAATAGGAATAAATAGGAATAAATTAAACCTCGATTTTTAAATATCATTAGTTAAAATAAATAAATATCATCAGTTAAAATGAGCTATTATAAACATTAAAAGTAAATTTTGTATTATCTATTTAGTATTAGGTAAACAGTGTGGTACAGACAGTACCTACCTGATTGTCAATGCCATTCAGTTCTATGTCATGACAATTTTCATTTGGTGGTTTCTCCTAAATAGCTATCATTCTTTATTCCCACCTGATACAACATAGCCATAAACATTCCAAAGATTTGTGCTTTGGGCACATCAAAAGAAATATACCTAAAAAAATTCTAAGATACCATTACAGAAGCAAATATGCATCACTTATTTTACTGATTAGTTGAAGAACAAAAGATTAAGATTTTTTTTTCATTTTTCTTTTATTATTCATATGTGCATACAAGGCTTGGTTCATTTCTCCCCCCTGCCTCCACCCCCTCCCTTACCACCCACTCCGCCCCTCCCTCTCCCCCCCAATACCCAGCAGAAACTATTTGCCCTATTTCTAATTTTGTTGTAGAGAGAGTATAAGCAATAATAGGAAGGAACAAGGGTTTTTGCTGGTTGAGATAAGGATAGCTATACAGGGCATTGACTCACATTGATTTCCTGTGCGTGGGTGTTACCTTCTAGGTTAATTCTTTTTGATCTAACCTTTTCTCTAGTACCTGTTCCCCTTTTCCTATTGGCCTCAGTTGCTTTAAGGTATCTGCTTTAGTTTCTCTGCGTTAAGGGCAACAAATGCTAGCTAGTAAGAACAAAAGATTAAGATGTTGGCTGAGGTTAATCAATACTCCATTGATTAACCCAAGCACAGAATGAAACCAGTAGAAGATCATGGCTATCTAAGTGAGACTCTATTGCTAATGGCTGTTCACCTTACCCAAGTATTTTCTAGAAATGCTGAGATAGAACAGTTTAATCTGTTCTAATAGATGTTCATCATTCCAGAAACCACTTTTTTTTCCATTTTTCTTTTATTATTCATATGTGCATACAAGGCTTGGTTCATTTCTCCCCCCTGCCCCCACCCCCTCCCTTACCACCCACTCCGCCCCCTTCCTCTCCCCCCCACTCAATACCCAGCAGAAACTATTTTGCCCTTATTTCTAATTTTGTTGTAGAGAGAGTATAAGCAATAATAGGAAGGAACAAGGGTTTTTGCTGGTTGAGATAAGGATAGCTATACAGGGCATTGACTCACGTTGATTTCCTGTGCGTGGGTGTTACCTTCTAGGCAGAAACCACTTCTTGTTGGCTAATTCTTCACAGTGCCTGATCAAGTGCTAACAGCTGAATTTTCTGTTTGCTAAAACATCTTTGTTAATTTAACTTTTATCTAAATTATAGTCTTTAAATGAGAAATGCGTAAAAGAATAAAGGGTCAATTTATTTTATGCAAATTTATCATTAAATATCAATGTGTACAATTCAAAACATTTATAAATCTTGCAATTTATAGAAAAATTAAAGCACTCTTAAAATTATCTGAACAATGATTTGCACAATTATTTACAATGAATGCAACCTACCTTTGTAGAGACAGAACTATTTTTAAAAGTCCCTGCCACAAAGTGATAATTTCACAGTACCTTTCTATAATATTTATGTCACTTAAGTGGCAGGTGCATCAATAATTTAGAAATAGCACAATCAGAATAGCACATACAAACTACCATTAGTTCCAAAAAAAACTTTTTCTACTAACATATAAATATTTTCCCATTCAGCACTGATAGAAGAAAATAATTAGGAAACAATATTATATTTGTTTGCTATAAAACAAATTAATTTTAAAGTATTTAAAAAACTGATGGTAACAAGCTAAATTAGGTGAGTTGTTATATAATACTAAATATTTTGAGAAATTCTTGGTTTCACTGGAAGGTATTTCTAATAGTAAACTTTTTCAGTTGTAATATGACATTAAGCAAAAATAATTTTCTATCTTAGAAATTATAACTTCTTATTAACAATAACATTTAGAGTGAAAGACATTCTTGGCTTTATTCCTAAATTTTGTTCTACTTAGCTTTTTAACTTTTTGTCATTCCCTCAATCCCTCAAAAGGATCTCGAATATGTAAACAATTAATTCAAGAAAATATAATTGTATTTGGACTGGTACTTGTGTTTGAGAATAATATTTACTGTAGTATTCCAGAGTTTTTCATTTTTTTTTTTTACTTTTTGGTGGTACTGAGGTTTGAACTCAGGGCCTTACCACTTGAGTCATGTCCCCAGACCCACAGATTTTCTTTTTAAGCATATATCCAGCTAAGACAATTAAATTAAAAGTTAAAGTATAAGAAATATAGTTGAAGTCATAATAAAGTACATTTCCTTTTATTGACATAGAACATGTACTAAAATTTTTAAATGCTGGTTCTTTAAGAAAAATTTTTCCTTGTTAATATGCATAACCGTTGCCCCAAAATATATACAGCTGTTTTTCCCAAAATATTTATATACATAGTAGTCTACTTAAGACCAGCCCTATCATAACCTACTGAATACAATGTGCTCTTAATTTATAAATGGGCTACCCTCAGTATATAAAATACATAGGCATGTATGTTATACATGCAAAGTAAAAAATATAAAAAGGAGAGATGGAAGAAAAGAAAAATGAAAGTGTCCTTCCCCATAAGATCCAGACAGAAAGTCATAATAATTGGTGAGACAGTATAAAAATGTCTGAAGAATTTCAGGTTTGGCAAGTACTTTCCAGAAAAATATCCAACCAATGAGAACACTAAATTGTCATCCTAATAATTTAGTAGAAGTTTCCATTTAAACATTCAGTGAAGATGTAGTCTTCTAATATGTAGAAAAGAAGACTTTTGGGGGTCTGTTAAAAACAAAAAGCCACTCATTTTTAGCAGGTTAGTAATAACCCCTTCATGAGGCATGTGTAGAATCAAATCCTGGTCCCTTAGTATCTGAATATATTTGATGAAAGATTCCAATGGACAGGATATGAATTCTTCCTAGATCTTAGAGGGAATGGGTAGGCCATTATGACAATGGAGGGGGTCAGCTCCAAAGGCAACCGGACCAACCTTAATAATCATTGTTAAAAAAACCACACTGAATGTTTCTGTAGCATTCTTTCTGCTGCATTTTCTTTATTTCAAGCCATAGGTTTACTTGCAGGATCATGCAGCAAGTGGCTCGTAAATAAAATCAGAGTCTATGAATAGTGTCATCACATCAAGAGACAGAATTGCTGGATTCTCTCATTAAGTAAAAAGCTCACATCTTGGGAGTCCATGAGGTGGGTATTATTTATGGGATACCTAAAAAGGGAGACAAAAACCATATAAGTCAATAAGACGCACATGCAATTCAAGAGTTAAAGCAATGAAGACTATTCAATAATTTATTAAGCTAGAAATTCCATAGGATTTCTAAATAATGCCTCACATTGAAGATTCAACAAATAACTGGACCAGTTCCCAAAGCAGCAAATATTACAACTGCTGCTAATTATTTACCAAAGCAAACAATTCTCACTGTTCTTCACTCTCAGCATATGTCACCAAAGAGAAAACCTAAATATAGTGACCATATGTGTTTTAGATGCCTAATAATTTGAATACTTAATGCATCCTTTAGCTTAGAGAGATGCTACTTGTCTCAATTTTCATGCTGTCACAGTACCAAAAGAGAAACAACAACAAATTCAATGAAAACTTTTAACTGTGATTTTTTTTCTTTATCTTTTCTAGGTCATCATTATACAACCAAAAATACTCAGGATAATGAAAAAGTAATAAAGTATTCTCTAATACTTCTTCATAAATTTAAATTCTAGTTCTCATGAGAATTTTTAGCCTTTCATCAAACATTCCCAAGAGAATAGACATCTGCTAATTCCATATAGGTTCATGTGTAAAAGCCCTTAATGTATCAGCATTAATACCAAAATTAGGTATTGTTAGTATGATAGCAGACAATTTGAAAAAAAATCTATCCTGAGTATGCTTCAATATGAAGAGTACAGAGAGAAGTAATATAATCTAGTCTTAAATTCTCATGCAAGTAACTCAAAGTTGCTCATTAATTAAAACATAATGTTCTGCTGATGTAAATAATTTTCATTTCATATTTATATATAGCACTAACCTGATGATGCCAAGTTAAATAAATGCTTGTCAGATTTCTAAAACAGATGTTCCCCTCACTATAATAACGTTTAAAATTTACATTTTAAACCTGTCTTATTAAATTAACAAGATAGTTAAACTCTTTCTCTAATCATGAAGATTTTTAAAAATGTTTTATTTTCATGGAAATATATGGAATAGGAAATATGTCATTTCATTTAAGCTAGTAATGTGAAGAAAAATTGAGCTATCATCAGAAGCAGCTTTCAATATGGCTATTATATTTAAATTAACACAGATTATGCAACGTATTTCATAACATGCTGAGCCATTTTATTTTCATAAGAATATAACAGAAGCTAACATGCAAAATAATTCAGTTTTTATTTCAACCTCAATTTATTTAAGTAATAATTTAAGACTTCAGTTCACAAAATATATCCTTTTTAACTAAAATAAAAGTGACTGTAAATCTTCCCCAGTTTTAGGGATTTATAGGTGGAAACTCTTACCAGAACTGAACTATTAAGACTTGCTAAGCAAATTTTTAGAAGTACAAAAACCAATTTATGTATATTTGAAAGCCACGATAATTGATGTCAAAAACACTTTCATCAGTCAACCTAAAAACCCTTTCACTTAAACATAAATACTTATACTCTCTGCTTTTGCTTATTGTTGCAACTGACAGCAGAATGTAGTCCCACAAAGGAATCATCTACTAAAAATAAGAAAAGTTTAGGCAAAGTCAGTCCTTAATTGTAACTTCCCCAAAAGATGAATTGATAATTCATCTAATTACACCTTTAATTGATTTTACAAGTTCCTAAACATAGGAAGAATGAAAAACACTGAAAACTTTCTGTTGAGTTATACATAAATACATTTAAACTAACTAATAAAATTGTCTAATTTAAAGAGTAACTAACCTGAGATGTACCTTGCTCCGATTAACATTACCATGCTACTCACTATAAAAAAGCCCAAGGGCAGACTACAGAAGATACTAGGGTCACCTGTGGTCATCCAAGTAGAAGGGAATTCCAGTCAAGCAAACCAAAAGAGAGACACATAATTACAATATTTATGTTAAGAATCACATGATAGCAAAACAAAGTAAGTCATAAAATAGCATATTCATAAAAGCTAGCAAAGAGTTATTCAAATCAAAAATATAATCAATATCAAGGCTTATGACAGTTAATACAAAGAGCATGCCACAAGTAGCCAAGAACATAATACATATAGACCAAGGTTAACCTTCCACTCGCAAAACCAAAGACAGCCTATGGAGAACTTTTTGGGAGGCTGCTGTTTTGGGCTTTCTAGACTCTTTCCTCAATGATACAAGATGAATGATCCAATTCACCCAAAGTTAAAATTATAGGTCCTCTAACTATCAGAGTAGAATTATATTAGTCTATTGAATTTAAAACCCTATTTCTGCTAAAACATTGGTCTTTTAAAAATAGAATTTGGTGTGTAAGGAAATGTACCTGGAACGCATAAAGAGAGGGTAAAGGAGGGTGAATATGGTGGAAATATTTTGTATTCATGTATGAAAATAGAACAAGGACCTGTTGAAATTGTTCTACGAAGTAGGAGAAGATGAAGGGGAAAGATGGAGAATGTGAATCTAATTAAGGTATATTGTAAGCACTTATGTACACAAAGCATCCCCCTGCACAACTATAATATGCTAACAAAAAATTTAATACAAAAAAAAAGGAAATGTACCTGGCAGTATTACTGTAACTGAAACTAAATGGTATTACTCTACATTCAAAACACAATTTAAAAAACATGTTTATTTTGATATTTTCTTTCTTTCTTTTTTTTTGGCAATACTGGGTTTGAACTCAGGGCTTCACACTTGCTAGGCAAGCACTCTATCTCAAGCCACTCCACCAGCCCTTTGTATTCTGGTTATTTTGGAGATATGGTCTCGCTTTTTGCCCAGGTCAGCATGGACAGTGATCCTCCTATTTTAGGCTTCCTGTTGCCACTGAGATTACAGGCACATGCCACCACATCCAGCTCCAGCTTTTTTCCATTAATATGACATCTCACTGGCCTGGAACTGTGATCCTCCTGATCTCAGTTCCCCAAGCAGCTAGGATTACAGGCATGAGTCACTAGTGTCCAACTATTTTCCAACCTAAATTCTCTTGGAATCCCTTCTTTTAAAGAATATTCCTTATACATACCCTTTTTAAATTTTAAAATATATATCTAAAATATTTAACATTTTTGGGGGCTGTTAGGGATTGAACTCGGGGTCTCTGTGCTATACCCCCCATCCCTAGAGTATTTAATACTCTTTAAAAGAGAAGTTTATTCAAAGTTAATGGCTAAGAATTAAGGAACTACAACCATTAGACAGAGGCTTCATTGAAATATAGCTAGTTAAAGATTCTCGGTGGGCATATTTTGTGATATAGTAAACTAATGATAGTCATTTCTTTGCTTTTAGGGGGAGAAGATTTTCTTGCCCTCACCAGGTATTTTTTTCCTCATAGAAAGGAGTTTTGTTTTAAAGAGGGACATAAGCCATTTCCTCTTTGTCACTGCTAATGTTAGTTTTTCAAATAAAAAAACAAGGGTTCTTACTATTTCCACATTTATAGAGATAACATTTTAATTTGATTTTAGAAAAGGGAAATATATGCTCTGCTTCCCTTAGAGGAAGCTGTCAGTTACAAGTTACAAAATTGATTGTTCTGATGTCCCTACAGTGAGTTTTGGTTTGAGAAAAAGATCTGAGGATTATCTGTATTCAGGAGCTTCTATAATTTCGGTGGCATCTATTTAATGAAAGTATTTCTCTTTTAGTGGTATATACACATGTGTTTTAAATATACATACATAAACATAATATATCATATATGTATATATAATATATACTTATTATTTGATAGATGTACAATGCATTTAAATCTATTTGACCTGTTTTCAAAATGTTTTGTTAGGTTTTGAGTCCAAAGCCAAGTCATAATTTGATAATCTTTCTCTAAAAATCATCAACCACCCTCCCCCAGCCAGGCTTGGTGGCTTATGCCTTTAATACTAGAAACTGGGAGTCTGGGGCAGGAGAATTGTGAGCTTAAGGCCAGCCTAGACTACATAGCAAGTTCTAGGCCAACTTGTGCTACACAATGAGACCCTGTCTGGAAAAAAAAACTAACAAAATTAATTAAAAATGAAAGAAACAACCTTAAACTGCCAATCATTTCTACATTTTAAACACATATCAAAAATATTTTAAATTGTATATAATGCATTCAAATACAGTTACAAACAAAAAGAAAGAAATATGAATGCTTCAACATTGACAAACTGCTTTGGAAATTAAGTAAGCATAATATTGTTCTCATAAGTTGAAGCATTTTAAAGAGGATAAGACTCTAGGCAGCAAATCTAGTATCCTTTCAAGTTTATTATAATAGGCTTCCATCTATATTGCTATTTTCATAGACCTCATTATATTATAGTTATATAGTTTATATAGCTTAAAGGAATACATTTGGTAATTTAGTAATTAAATATTATGAGTTTATTGTACAGCGTAATTTTTTCCAAACTTTGGTTTAAATCCATTGCAGTCTAACTGCAACAAAAATACAATTTTAAAAATCTAGGGCTGGAAGTGTGGCTCAAGTGGTAGGGCACCTGCCTAGCAAGTGGAGCCCCTGAGCTCAATCCTCAGTATCACCAAAAACATAGGGATGCAGTTGTGGTTCAAGTGGTAGAGTACTTGTCTAGTGCAAGGCCCTGGGTTCAATTCCTAGTACTGCAAAAAAACAATCTAAAAGTAAATCAAATTACTTTTATCATCAATGCTGATAACACAAACTGAAGAAATGTAATTTTTAATTTTCTTTTATCAACTTTTTTCTTAGTATTTTAAATTCATTGTGGAAGATGATCAATTTTATGGGAATTTTGAATTTAAAATGTTATCTTCAACTTCTAGGAAAGAGAAGTGTATGTGTACAGAGTGTGAGGAAGGAAGACAGGAAGATCATACTATTGACAAAAATTCACCTAGTCAAAGAAATCATGTAACCAAGCTTCACATAAGTATTAATTCAAGGCAACAAGAAGTGAAGACCCATATCTCTTATATCTCACATATCAACTATCACTGTGCTAGAAAAAAACTGAGAAGTTTAATTGTAAATGGTCTCAAAATTGCAATCTTAGCAAGAAAACTTAGCTACAATCTTAGAAAAGAAAGCTGAGTCACAGAACAAAAAGAATGTTAAGGTTATTTACGAGAAAAAACCCCAAAACTTCAAATAGGAACACCCATGAATGAAAATGTGAATCACAGTGAGCCATGGAAGCTTCTTCTAAAAGGCACATACATTAAAAGTGGTTCTATACTTGCTTTGGGATTGGAATCCAGGTAATATTTCATTTAAAAACTCTTATCTATTAAAATACATGCTTCAATTTCTTATTGGTCATCATTCCATTCATTATGCCCCAAATCTTGCATTTAGCAAAAAATTATAATATTATACCATTAAAGGAAGCTTAAGAATACTTAATGTTCCTGCCTAAGTGATTTGAAAATAAAATATTCCTCCATTTTCTGCCAAAAGTATTTCTCAATCTATTATAATACTTCTGATTTACTATGTTTGGTCCATTCCTTCCTGTCTGATTCCAAAGGAATTACCATTATGTGCATTCCCTAGTTGCTTAGAATCAAACTAGGATGTAGCAAAATATTTTCTGAAGTTAATACAGCTTTAGGTTGATTCAGGTCATAAAGACAGCCTCCCAAAAAGGTAAATGACATTAAGAATAGGAGGAAAAAAAAAGATTCTAGTTGATTTTTTTCATTAAGAAGAAACTATAAATAATTTTACTTTTGGAAAATTCAGTTATCAAATGAAGTATCAGGAATAAGTCAATAAGGAAAGATATGATGATATAGAGTGAAGGTATGCATATTAATCTGATAATTTCCATTTTTATGTTTAGAACTTTAAAATGTTTTCAAAATGTTAGAAACTTTGGGCATAGGGTAATGCTTTTATTCAGAGCAGCCTGGGTAAGTATAAATGGCCAGATACTTAGAACTATTTAATATACTAGGAAAAATGGCAATAATAACCAATAAAGACATTTTACCACTTTCTGGAGATTGAGTTGTAACCCAACCGATTGACTTCATCACAGCTTTCTTCCACGTAGAATAACGAATTTCACTTTCTAGAATTAGAAGGCAGGAAAAACACACATGTGAGAGGTAGTTTGCTGAGATGTTCTGAGTATCACACACTTTTTTTTAACATTTCTTCACCATTCTTGACAAATTGGGGCTTTACTAGAACCCAGCTGTGGGAGCACATGGTTAGTAGTGACTGACAGTGACTGAAAGACTCACTTACTCTCATGCCTCCCAGTCTTTCCACATCACCTGAAGCCTGTAACTCCTGGGAGACAGGCCTGAAAGATACTTGCTTTGGAAGGTTTTCCAATTTTCCACTTCTAGCCCCCCTTCTCTCTTCCCACAGTACTCCACATATACCTCACGCTGTCACCTACATTTATGGTGAATTTTTATGGTTTTTGTCTACCTCTCTCAATATAAAGTCTCCAGAAGGGAAAAGACTTGGCTCTATTCATCTCTGTAGCCCAATGTAAGTGACAATCTCTGACCTGAAGTTGACTCTAAACAACTGTTAGCTGGAGAAATGAACTATCTCTATCTTGTTGCCCATTAATGTGTGGGAAGGTATTATGAAAAGGCCTTAAACCAAGGCAAAGATGATTCTCCTCAGTAAATAGTAAATAGATTGATTCTAAACCCTTTGCACTAAACTTCCTTGTCTTGCCTTAGACTAAGCATTTTGGTGACCACATACCTATTCTGAACATTGCTTGACCATTAAAAAGTTGGTTTGTTTTTCAGAAGTAAGAATTTTTTTGAGCTTCATATTTTATCCATTATTGCAAAAAATTTAAAAATTCAGACAGAATATCAGATTTTGAATTTTTTTTTTTGGTGGCACTAGGGTTTGAACTCGAAGACATGTGCTTGCTAGGCTGGTGCTCTACTTGAACCATGTCCCTAGCCCTTTTTAGAATATCAGATTTTGAAATGCATTTCTCCATCATGGTACATGGTATACTGTCTCACTATAATTACTAGCAGTATAATTCACTTGCTTACATATGAAAAAGAATGAATAAAATTAAGAAACACTAGTATAGCCTTCTAGAAAATTATACAGAAATGCTTTGAAAACTTATTTCCCAATAGCTCAAAATCCACTTTGATGGTCTTGTATGCATATGTGTCTAAATAGTTATAAAACCAAATTCAATATATAAAACCTTATTTTCCTATTATAAAACCAAATTCAATATATAAAACCTTGTTTTCCTATTCCCATTTATCTCTAAGGTGTACATCACATTTTAATAAAGATATTAATCAGAGCTTTTGATTTAGCTTAGTTTCTTAGGAGAGTGAATAAAATATCTAATGCTCATTGACTTAATTGTTGCTGCTCCAGTCATGCTAGTCCTGCTATGCTTAAAAGTTAACCAAAGAATCTCTTAGGCCAGTTAATCACATCCTGAAGCTAGGTCATCAAAACTGAACATGATTGGGTATAGACATTAGGGGTGAGTGGGTAATATATCTCCCTTCACATTTAAAAAAAACCACAGTTCTAACAAGCTATAACTGATAGTGTGGTAGTATTAGTCTCCAACAGTACAGACATGAATGATTTTTAAAAAAATGATTTTAGATATTTTTATAAGTAACTATTTCCCTCATTCACACATACTCAGTATAACCCAATATGCTTAGTATCTAAATCTGAAATGATAGCATTTGCTATTTTACTTTATTTCTTAACTTATAAATAAACAGAAAGGTAATCAGAAAGGCAAACTCCCCCAACTAAGGTCATTTTTATAATATACCATTAAAAGTTTCATTCTTTAAATGTACCCTCAGCGTTGATCTGTGGTTCAAACCGCTCCATTGTGACAGCTGACAAGTCCTCAGGTTCGAGACTCCAAACACCAACTCCTTCTGCAGCCCCAGCTGCCATCGCAGCTCCTAGGGCAGTTGTTTCAGGCATGGAGGGCTTCACTGAGAGGAGAGAGCCACGTAAAAACTCTGTAGTTACATGTGCCTGAAGAACTAACTACTTCTGAAAGAAACATTACTTCAGGAGTTTAAAGGAATGAAGGCTTACAAACCTACTGGAATATAGAGAATGTCTGCCTGTAGCTGCATAAGAATTTTGTTGCTGGTCATTCCTCCATCTACCTGCAAGTGGCTGAGTGGAATTCCACAGTCACGATTCATAGCATCCAAAATCTTAAATAAACCAAAGCAATTAACATCATGAAACTACTTCACAGTAACATTTCTAGAAATGGCAATTCTTTGCATAAGAACCCTGGAGAGTTTCCTAAAGTCCACAGAATGAAATTGAGAAATATTATTAATCTGGTCACAGCCAACCTTTGCTATCATTAACTCTGCACTTGCCCTGATATTCAGCAAGTCAAACAAATTTTTTTTTGTGGGGATAGAGTTATGAGGGATGAACTCAGTGCCTGTGCTTCCTAGGCAGGCACTCTACCAGTTCAACCACTCTGCCAGTCCATTTTGGGATGGCTATATTTAAGATAAGGTCTCCCTTTATGCATGGGCTGTCATGGACCATGATCCTTCTATTTGTGCTTTCCCATATAGCTGGGATGACAGACATGTACCACTGCCCCCAGCCATTGGTTGAGATGGGGTCTCACAAACTTTTTTCCCATGCTGGCCTTAAACCGAAATCCTCCCTTCACCTCCGGAGTAGCTAGGATTTATTGGTGTGAGCCATGGCACCCAGCTAAGCCAAACAATTCTAGTTTGCACCCTAGTTTCCTGCCTTAATGCTTCTCTTCATGCTGTTTCAGTTGTGTAATATATACTACTCAGCCTCCTTCCAATCGTAAAATGCCCAGTGCCTGGCAGAGAGCATGTATTTACAAGAAATGATAGCAGGCTTCATTGTTTGAGTAAGTACACTCTCAGTATTTAATAAGTTTCAGGCACTAAGATGTAATTTAGGAGTGATAAAAGTGGGCTAAGTACAAAAACACAGGTCCATATTCATTACCTCTCGGGTTTGGAAACAAACAGCTTCTAAGGCAGCAAAAGCGATATGGCATTTATTGGTGAACTGAGTGAGGCCACAGATTATCCTAAAAATACATAAAAATATCTTCAGATTAGAGTGGTATAAATGAGTCATCAATCTGAAATGTCCTGAATATGGAAAGGGTGAATTTGATAGACAGAAAAGTATAGGGAAAAAGAATTGGACATAATCACTAAGCAATTCAGAATGTCTTTAGAGTCCACAATCCTGCATCCACATATGAAAAAGTTCATGATCCATCTGAACAGATGACAATAATATAAAACCAACTAAGCATTCATTTAGATATAAAACTTAGAAATGCCTTGGAGACAAAAGCAGATAACATTAACATGAATATGGTGAAGGCTATTGTCTGCTGATGGATAATATTGTAGAACTTACATGTTCTAAGACTATAGTCTCCAGACAGAAAAGGTTTTCCTAACACTTTAAAAATCATTTGAAACTATTAATAAATTAGTTATTAACTAATTTAGTAAATTCACCAAGACTCCCAAAAGAAAAATAAAAGACCCCCAAGGCTACAATACTGTCAGCTTACTGTCATTAATCCTTTTAATTAATATATAATATATTTAAGGGGTATAGTGTGATATTTCAATACATGCATATAATGTGTGATGATCAAATCACGGTATGTATCACCTCAAACATTTATCATTTCTTTGTGTTGGGACCATTCAGAATCCTCTCTTCCAGCTATTTTGAAATATACAGTAAACTACTGTTGATTATAGAAACACTTACCCTCTTGCACTGGGTTCCCAATAAGGTGCATATAACCCTGAGAATGCTGGGACAAAGTAGCAGCCATAAGAAGTACCAACTTCTTTAGCAAGTTTTTCTAAAATTAAAAAAAAGAAAAAGAAAAAACAATCATATCAGTATCTTACTTTGTTGACTTACTTTATTGACATGACTATTTTCAAAATTAGTACAAGGTTTTTAGTTTCTTGTTAATTGGTATAACAAAATGTTCCTACTTAGGGTAGTATGTTAGCAAGCAACAAGAAAGTTTCCTTTACATTGAACACCCCCACCAGGGCTGGTGGCTGATGGCATGGTTCAAGTGGCAGAGCACCTGCCTAGCAAGCACAAGGCTGAGAGTTCAAGCCCCACTACAAAAAAAAAGAAAAGAAAAAAGAACACCCCAACCAAAATATAATCCAGCTCAAGAAATCAAGAAACTGGATTCATTTTCTTAAGGTATTTTAGCTCATTTCCATTATTTTTAAGGTTTCTGACTAGGAGAAGAAGAAGTGGTCTTTCATGTGTGCCTAATCAAAAATGTATTTCTGATTGTCTTACTTTCAGGCAAAGTTAAAAAAGTAGATGACAGAGTGAGTTCAAACTAATTATCCATAGTCTGAATCCAGGTATATTAATACCTAAATTACAGATACCAGACTTTTAATGTGTACTCTAATCTAAGAGCTTAAGCTCTTTCTCATCAGATAAATGGAACTTGCAGACTTGGACAATCTCTGGTGTTCAATTTTACACTTGGGCAACTTTTATGCCTTACCTTATCCGTTTATTAATAACCACCACTAATTATGTCAATTCATTGAGTAATAAATCTTCACAAAGTAGTGGTTTTTTTATACATCAAACTTACAATGAGGTTCCACATAATTTATGGCTCACATTTAGGGCAAAGCATAAGAATTTACAAATTGCAGAAATAAAAAATAGTTTATTTACAAATTAACTATTTACAAATATACAAATAGTATATTGTATATTTGTATGTTTGTATACTATTAACTATTTACAACTAAACTATTTAAAAAATAGTTTATTACAAATTATTACAAATTGCAGAAATAAAAAATAGTTAAATTTTTCATTCTTCAGATTTTCTGACCCTTTGTTAGAACATACTCACCAATTTCCTCTGAGGATTTAATAATTCCAAGATTGTCTCTTAGCCAGCGAATAACAGCACCAGCTATAGCTACAGAACCCTAAAGAAAAAAAAAGGAATTCAAGATAGAGTATTTGTTACCACTATAAAAGGTTTTTATTAAACATATTCTCTGTGTACAATTCTACTAAATGAGTAAAATGTAAACAATTCAACTTTGGGACTACCACAAATACGATAGACAAGGCCTTCTGATATAAACACAATTTTACCTAGGTCACGAATAAGTTTTTCATGGGATAAGGAAAGGAAGTGAGTCCTTCAGCACTCCCTTGTACCTGTCCCCATCTATCTTTTAAGCAGTTTGATTTTTGTAAATTTTTTTATCTGTTGTTAAGCTTCTGATCTATACTATCATTTATAATATATTTCCATCATATCTACAAATTGATTGGGAGAGTCCACATTAAAGTTTCCTTAAGTCCATTTTTCATATCTAATAGTATGCAAAATCAAGCAAAAAAAAATAGCAAAGAGGCTAGCTCCTAAGTAATTATTCTTAAATCACCAAGGGATTTTTTTGGGGAGGCTGTGACAATAAGGATGAAAACATAATTCAGAGTGAGATGAAATGGATTTAAGACCTAGTTCTAGTACTTAATTGCCATGTGATCCTAGGTAAATTACTTAGGCTTTCTGAGTTCCATTTCTTTACATATAAAATGATAGCAACAATAACAATATTTACCAAAACAAACTACTATGATGCTCAATTTGAGAATACATGTGAAGGTTCTTACTGAATGTAAATATTAACTGCATTATTTTTTAAGTGCTAAAAAGTATCAGTCAAATTCTATCAATTGATGAATGGATAAAAACGTGGTATGTCCACACAATGGAATATTATTTGGACTTGAGAAGGAATGAAGTGCTGACACATGTTACAACATGGGTGAACCTTGAAATCATTATGCAAAGTAAAAGAAACTGAGTATAAAATGCCATACACTGTATAATTCCATTTATTTGAAATGTTCAGGATAGGCAAATCCATCAAGACAGAAAGTAGGTTAGTGTTGCTTAGGTTTGCGGGGAGCAATTATGGGATTGTTCTTTGGGGCGATGATAGTTGTAAAAAATCTAAAATATAAAAAATTGACTTATACATTTTAAAGAAATAAATTTTGGGTTGAAGATTTAGCACAGTGGTAGAGTGCTTGCATAGTGTACATGATTTTGATTCTAGTACCGTGGAAAATAAAAGGCAAATTTTGTGGTATACAAATTGTATCTCAATAAAACTATTACAAAAAGATCATGAGGGCAGGAAAAGTATCAGCAAAAATCATTAAGTCCAAAACATTTTTGGCTTTGATGTTTCATTCATATAGAATATTAATGTAAATTAACTTCCACTGAGTCACTCCATACGAAATGTCAGGTGATATGAAATGTAAGAACCTGTCCCCAGTTCAATAAACTGAATTATAAATGGTCATCTCTTCTCACTATTTTGATAGGACATAACAATCTAGAGCATGAACATGCTGATACATTTCATCCTTCATAGCCTCTAAGAGAAGTTACTATATGCTATTACAAAGCTGCAGAATACCACAAATGTTCTATTTATACAATGGCTTTTTAACTTTAGAGAATTATTTAAGGAACAGACTTGACATAACTGTGCAAATATAATGAAGTTTTAAAAATGAGACTGGGTTGGGGATGTAGCTCAGTGGTATAGTACTTGCTTAGCACGTAAGTCCCAGAGTTCAATCCCTAGCACCACCAAGAAAAATATAGGGAGGGACAAAAACAATTTAATAAATTTGGACTCTAACCTAGCTGGCCTCTTCCAACGTTGTTAATACAGTTCCTAACTTTGATATATTTACATATTTAGGCATTCAGTGGAACCATTCAGGGAGAACTAAGTAAGTTTTCTTTTATTTAGGTAAACTTTACTCTCAAATTTCCTTTGAAGCAGATGATAGTTGCCAAATACTAGTAAATATATGAGTTTTTAGATCAATGCTGTCCAAGAAGAATATAGTATGAACCATATATACCTTAAATTTTTGCCACATTAAAAAATAAAATAGGGCTAGAGGCATGGCTTAAGTCATAAGAGTGCCTGCCTAGCAAGCACAAGGCCCTGAGTTCAAATCCTAGTAGTGGCAAAAAACAAAACAGGTAAAATTAAAATACATTTAACCCAATATATTAAAATATTCTTTTGACATGTAAAAAAGAAGAAAAGAAAAAGTTAATTATAAACACTTATCAGAAAGAAGTATATGAGTTTGGCATCAACATATAATACACAGCATAATTTAGCCTTTAAATTTTCTAGAGAAAAGGTTAGATCAAAAAGAATTAACCTAGAAGGTAACACCCATGCACAGGAAATCAATGTGAGTCAATGCTCTGTATAGCTATCCTTATCTCAACCAGCAAAACCCCTTGTTCCTTCCTATTATTGCTTATACTCTCTCTACAACAAAATTAGAAATAAGGGCAAAATAGTTTCTGCTGGGTATTGAGGGGGGGGAGCGGGAGGGGGTGGAGTGGGTGGTAAGGGAGGGGGTGGGGGCAGGGGGGAGAAATGAACCAAGCCTTGTATGCACATATGAATAATAAAAGAAAAATGAAAAAAAAAAAAAGAAATTACTAAAAACAAGAGAAACCTCCAAATTAGAATAAGACATGTGGTCTTCTAAATTCAGAAGCAAGAGATAAAATAGAAGATCATATAATACTTCAAAGCTGGGCAGGAGAAGAGTGGGAACAGAAACCTAAAATGATAGAAGGTGACTGTCTACTTATTAACAATTAATTACATCCTAAATATAAGGATCCAATACTTCAGTGTAGCACCTACTAATATGAATCAGATCTAGTTCTAAGTCTCAGGTCTCTGGTACACGCAAGCCTAACAGTTGTACCCTAAGGGTGACACAAGGCAAGTGAGAAGGTACAAAGATGAATATATTAAACAATAGCAGGATAAGTGGAAGAAATTATGTTAAAAGCAGACATGTAGCCTGGAAAGTGGAAGGCTAAGAAATGGGCTATGGGAAGAGTGGATTAAAAATAATCCAGTAGAAGTAATGTAACATCATAGCAAGCACATGCAGTCTTTTTCCAATGCTCCTTGACATGAATGACACTGCCACAAACAGAGTATGTATGAAGGAGACTATTTCAGCATGCAGTAGAATTTGGTCTTATAAGACAGTTGGAGTTAATATTGGTGAATATGGATAAAATCATGTAAGCTGAAGATTATTCTTAAATTGTTTTAAGTCATCCCTTAGGCAGAGTACACATAGTTTTTTGTATACTATGGTATTGTGCATGTCAATATGCATAATTTATACTGTACTCAATTTATATATATTAGATTACACATGCCAAGTTTGATGCCATAGCATTTTTTTAGACACAGTTTTGCTCTGTAGACCAGACTGGCCTCAAACTTGCAATCCTCCTGGCTCAGTCTCCCAACGACTGGGATTACAAATTTATACCACTACACCCAGCTATCTATGGCATTTTTAATGGTAAAACAGGAATACAGAGTTGAGTTAGGGCAGTATTATATTTAAAAATATAAAAAATAGAATAACAAAGGGTTTTGTATTTTTTATACTATTTGCCAGTCTATTGTAAGAGTCGTGAATAAGACAGAGAAGTACCCTGGGGCTCAGGAAGCCTGTATCCTACTGACAGAATACAGAACACAGAAGTCTCAACTCCTAAACTAGCTCAAGTTTCTAACCATATTAAAAGCCCGCCTAAAGGAGTTTTGTTTTGTAAAATGATATGTAGAAAAAGAAGAGGAACAAGGAAAAGGAAAAGCACAGATTCCGGAAGATACTATACTATTAACAGATGACATTAGGAAGGCAGAACCACTAACTAGAGCTCAATTTTGCTGGAGTCTCCTTTACCATTGAGAGACAATTTCCAAGTATACCACTTAGGACAAATTTAAGCAGTTTAACATGAGCTTAATGTTGCAGAATTATTTAAGGATTGTGTGTACCAGTTCCTTTTTACAAATAATGAAAGTGAGAATTCAGAGATGTTAAAATGTTAGACCTAGAATCAATTGCCAGGGGACTGGGAGAGAATTTAAAAAAAAAAAGAGTTCTCGTGGTAATGAGACAGTAAAATAGTGAGTTTCTACTTCAAAAATCCTATGTGTTCTATACACAGAGACTAACAGACAAAATATAAGAAAGAGAAAACTAAAGTAACACATGCTGACTTAAATACAGAATATCTAAGAGGACAAGTAGAAATGCACAACAGAGCAAAACTGAAGCCACAAGCATAATGGCTTCTGATTCATTTTTCTGTGTGTGTCAGGGGGTAGAGTAGTGGCCAGGAACTTGTCCCTCCAGAGGAAAGTTGTCTAAAATGCTGTGTGCAACACAGGGAATTTTTTAAAAAGACATGAAAAGTAGAAGAGGAACTACTTGGAAAGAAAAATGGGACCAGAAGGAAGAGGGGGGACTAGAGAGGATAATGGAGGTGAATATGATCAAAGTATATTATAAACATGTATAAAAATGTCATACTAAATCCCATTTTTAAAAAAAAAAAAGACATGGAATAAAGTCAGGTTCAATGCTTGAAGCCAGAGGCTAGATGGCGCTCTCCTATTGTGTGGGAATATGGAAAAACAATTGCTTGCTGAATAAGGCTATGGCTTAATGAAAGATGAGGCTGAAAGAGAAAAATCCGCATTAAGTCTACAATGAGAAATCAGCCAACAAAAATTAACATCGGGAATAGAATTCATTTCGGTCTAACAAAGGTTTTAAAATAAGTATGTTGAAAGTATTCAAAGAGATAAAATGAGACATAACTTCCATTAAAAAACACAAAAATCCTAACTGGGCGTGGAGGTGTATGCCTGTAATTTCAGCACTCAGAAGGCTGAAATAGGAGAATCTCTGGTTAGAGACCAACCTGGCCACATAGTGAGGTCCTATCTTGAAAAAACACCCCCCACAAACACACAAACAAACATGAAATTATGAATCAAAAGAAAACAAATTAAAATCAGGCAGATCTGAAAAATAA